GGGCAGCGAGACCTCATCTCTACAATAAATCAAAAAAAAATCAGCCAGGCATGGTAGCGCATGCCTGTAATTCTGGCTACTTGGAAGGCTGAGACGGAAGAATCACCGGAGCCCAGCAGGTCGAGGCTGTGGTGGCCGTTAGCGGCCGCTGCACTCCAGTCTGGGCGACTGAGTGAGACTCCAACTCAAAAAAAAAAAAAAATTCTGGTGAGCATTGGTTGTTCTTACTGCTGGTGAGCTTTTGGAAAAAACTTGTAGCAGGTTACAACAGAATCCTCTAAGCTCCAGAGGACAAAAGATGAGTTTCAGTCACTCTAAGTCCAGAGTCGGGTCTTAGAAATGACAGGCGCAGACATGGGTCCTAGCAAGGGGCTGAAAAGCAGCAGGATCCAAGGCTCCTCAGGAGTCCAGGGTTACTTGACGTCCGCACTTGTGTGAACAGGGTTTCCGCCTGAAAATGAGTATCTTTTCAACTCAGTGAAATAGCTCCTACAGGTTTACTAGGTTGCCTCACTATTTTCCTTAGAGTGTAAAATCTTTGAGATAAAAGATATTGAAGAGGCCGGGCATGGTGGTTCAGCCTGTAATCCCAGCACTTTGGGAGGCCAAGGCGAGAGGATTGCCTGAGCCTGGGGGGTTCCAGACCAGCCTAGGCAACTTGGTGAGACCTCGTCTCTACAATAAATCATCAACACTAGCCGGGTGTGGTGGCCTGCGTCTGTAGTTCCAGCTACTTGGACGGCTAAGGCGGAAGGATTGCCTGAGCCCAGCAGGTCAAGGCTGCAGTGGCTGTGGGCATGACACTGCACTCCAGCCTGGACGAGAAGAGACTCCAACTCAAAAAAAAAGACTGAAGAGGAAATCAACAAAGAGGAAAACCAAAAAATACCGTGTCCACCTTATTTAACTGGAGCAAAAGGCTTTGTTTGGTTTGCTTGTTTTGTTTTGTTTTTAACAGATACTGAATATGACCTTAGCTTAGAACCCTAAGCCATAGGAATAGTCTACCGTTCTATCCATGGTGGAAATATAGCTGTTGATCCATTATGAGAGGCTAACTTTACTTCTAAACCTAAAGTCTACCCAATCAGGTTTGTGACCCCAGAAGACGGAAACAGGCCTCCTGTTGGTCAGCTTGTAACCGAGTTACAAACCAAGTTTTTGCGGAAAAACAGTTATGGAGGCATCACATGGAATCCGGAGGACCTCACACCGACTCAGACGACAGCGGGGTTTCATCTCATGCGCGCTCTGCTCCACCACCATGAGCTTCGGAAAGGGAGTCGCCAGGCAAGTTCACGTAGAGCAGCAGAGAGGGCCCAGAATGCCTGCGAAGGTGGGTCACCTCATGGCCTGAAGCTGCTGCCGTGCCATCTTGGGATTCAGACACTGACCACCTCGATGCCACGTGTGTTTTAAAACACTACTAAATGCTATAAACACTGGGAGGATGGCTCGTGACTCATCTTGCTCATACGACTTGGTGCCAGGCAAGTCAAAACAGAGTATGAACACCAGGAACGAGTGCCAAGGGCTTCCAA